CAGTCTAAACAGGGAGTTGTAACTTAGAAATAAGGGCACCGCCTGATTTAGAAGACGGTTAATGCTGTCTATTTTACAGGCCACCAAACTTGGCGAGCCTGCTTCTTTTAAATTGGGCACAGGATTTTGAATTCCATGACTATTTCCTTTTGGTGCTTTTCATTTAAAAACTTAAATTGCTCGGGAAAAAAACTTCTACTAGTTAGTTTACACGACCTTTTATCTATTTAAAAATTTCAATGCATTAAATAGCTTGAAAGTTTGTTGTATATACTTAAAAAATGTAAAATTAATTTTCAACTGACTATTTATTTCTCAAAACATTGAGGGCTGTTCTTTTCGTGTTTTAGTTTTTAGTTTTGAATTCATTTTCAGTTTTATGTTTTGAGTGTCCATTTTGAGATTGTTGAAAACGCGTTCTTTTTGTCATTTTGAAAAATTGTTTTCAAAAATAAAAAAATGAAATTTTAGTTTGATTTTAACTGAAAACAGTCTATTACGTTTTTGCCCTTTTTCGTTTCCTTTTTAAATTTTAAACTCGTTTTTGGAAATTCGTTTCTGAAATAGGTAAGTAAACGTGTTTTCAATATTTTTGAAAACTAAAAATTGAAGATGTCTAGAAAACAGTAAAGAAAACGGACCCTAGATAATAGATTATTTATTTATTTAGTTGTAAAGGTTACTTTCGAAACGTAACTCTCCGTCTCTCTTTTTGGGCAAATTCTCTTTACTTTTAACATAAACTTTTTTTATTAATTAATAAAATATTATTTATATTTGACTTGCCAAGTAGACTTTCCAAAGTAGATACGTGAGTGTTTGTTTTATTTCAAGTGGGTGGTCCTAACCCGAACTTACTGGAATCGAATATCGGCCGTCAAGACATGATAATAATCTCACTAATGAAAAACACGCAAGCGTTGTCGGATTTGTCCAATCTCTTCACTCTCATTCTCATTGGATAATTCGCGATAAATAATTACTTGGAATCACTCTTTTCTTGATCTTTCCAAATTCAAACGATGATCAGTGTGTCATTTATTTATGATGTTTTTCAACTACTTTTAAATTTCAAATTTTACCGTCTTGCATTCATTAAAAAATGCAATACTAACTAAGTATTTCAAGCAAGATATATTAATTGGCAACAGTGACTTTTATCAACTTTTGAATATATATTTTATAATTTTTTTATTAAAATTTTTGTCAAACAACCCTTTCATATTCATGTTTTTCACAATGTTCGATGCCCGTTGTGAAAAGAGAAGGTTCTAAACAAGCAATGAAAGTTGCAAAATGTCACAAGTTCTTTCAATAACGATCATTGTCCGTGTTAAATCCACGAAATATATTAACTTTTTTACAATAGACCACGAATGTTGTAAAAGGTTACATTAGCAGCATGCAATGGAATCTTGTTGTCAAATATTAATTGAGTTAATCAACAACATATATTTACTATTGTTGCGATAAACATCTT